GGTCATGAAGACGTTCTTTTGTGTTTTTTCTAAAAGTTATATATCTTACCTTCCACATTTAGGTTTATGATATATCTAAAGTTGATTTTTACATATAGTTTGTGGCAGATGATCAAGATTTTTTTCACATATGTGTCTGATTGACCCAGTATCATTTATTTAAAAGACTTCTCCCCACACAACATGACTTTTACACGAGTCTATGATAGTCCACCATATGGATACAGATGTACCATTTAACTAGTTGAGAAAGCATTTTAATGGAGTATTTTCTTGTATATGTTCTTCCTTAACATTAGGCCCGAGTGACTTCCCAAAAAAGAAAAATTACTGCAATGAGTGCTGAAGCAATTTTTTCTATAAAGAATAAATACTGAGATACTAAAAACAGCCACATGTATTAAAATATGATAAAAATTCTTAGTTATAATTTTGAATTGACTGTTACAAGACAAACAAAAGGTAGACTTTAAAAAGTGAATTTTGACTGAAGGCTTGTAAAAAGTGATAATTCGGAGAGGTTTAGGTTAATTCTAGCTAACAATGATATTGTTCTTATTGTATTAGCTATACATTAATCAGCTGAATAATTAAGCTACTGTTTTATATTTTGACAACCAGTTTGGAAATGTAACAAATTATTTGTTATTTACCAGAGGAAGCTTGGTTTGAGAATACATTATATTATGAACATTTTTGGTTATTACACTATTAGCATTCATTTCCTCAGTAACTTCTTTTGAGGTCTCCACTTTTTTTGACATGACTCATAACTGTAAAGGTTTTAGAAAAATGGAAACTTGTGAAGAGTTATATGACAAAGATGGCTATAATTAAAACTTAGGAAGTGGGTTTTATATATGCTGATGATATATATGTGAAATTTATGATTGAAATTTAACATTTCCATATGGTCAGAACAACCATTTTGCATAGTTTATTAGAATAAACTTAATGAGGAAACATAATGCCAATTTTCCAATGGACTTTAAATATATTATAATATAAAATGGTATTGGAGGAACTTGTTATTAATCTTACTTTTAGTTACTGAGAGAATGTCAGTGGTATTAAATTTTTTTTTAAAGATTTTATTTATTGAGAGAGAGAATGAGATAGAGAGAGCATGAGGGGGGGAGGGTCAGAGGGAGAAGCAGACTCCCTGCCGAGCAGGGAGCCCGATGTGGAACTTGATCCCGGGACTCCAGGATCATGACCTGAGCTGAAGGCAGCTGCCCAACCAACTGAGCCACCCAGGCGCCCGTCAGTGGTATTAATTAGTCTTTGACATGGGTTTTTTCCCTCTGTTAAGTATATTATTAAGTCTTATGTATTTGATTTTTAAAAATTAATCTTAAAGTGTGCTTAATAGTTCAGCCATTTAAAATGGTTGCAATCAAAATAAGCAAGTTGGATTTGTAACAGGTAAACTTAATTTTTTGCACTTGCTTGAGCAAAAACTATTAATTTTAATTTAGAAAATCTGACTAATCTGCAGTGCATAAAAATGCATTTGAATTGGATTTTAACCTTTAGTAATAGACTTCTTGTTTTCATAGAACTTACACTAGTTTATATTCACATATATTTATCATTACATGCATTAACCATTTTTAATTCTGTTGAAATTATTTTAAGGTGAATAAATTGGTGAAATTAGATTTATTGACTCTTGCACTCTTTACTTTTATACCTGCAAACCAAACTATTGTCTCTTTTCAAAAATCCTACCTTATATTTATTAAATGCTCTACTGAACAAAATGGAATTGGAAGCTAGAAATTACAACAGCAAGGTTTGTGGGTTATGGAGAGTGATATAGACCAGAGCTTCCTGAAGTACTCATTCTCAGGACTTAGGCATTGCTGTGTTCAAACAGAGCAAAACAAAATAAAACACATACAATGGTCAAATTAATTTGGGAAGTCAAAATTAACCAGGTTTTCAAAATGCTGAATTATTCAAAGCTTTTAATATGCTATGGTACATTATGAGTGCCCAAGTGGTTGGGGGGTAAGGGATGGGAGAGCAGTGTGAGAGGAGCAGTATTTCCCAGACTTGAGGGTGACTCTGGGGTCTAGTCTAGAATTTCTGGGACATTCTTCAGGAAATGTTGGTTTATAGAAACCTCCTTCACTCACCAGTTCATCCCAGCTCCTGACTGCTCCCTCTGACCCCCAAAGTTCCCAAGTCTAAAGTGGACCTGATTATTTTGGTGCTTTTCTCTGCCTTACATTCCTGAACTGAAAAATTAGTATAATCCTGGTTCCTATACAGGAGGTGCTTGAATGTCCTTTACAGCCTTGGACTAGATCCCAACCAATCCCTTCCTTCTTTCCAAAAGCATTTTGAGCTCTTACTTTTCCCTCAGCTTGGAACAATCTCGCCCTTGATATTCCCAGGCATGACTGGCCTCTCATCAGTTTATTACTCAAATGCCATGATTAGGCCACTTTGTTGTCCTTCCCCTCCCTTAGCACTTTTTAGCATATTATGCCATTTTATTATCTTCACAGCTCTTGTCCCTATCTAAAAATATTTATTTTTGTACTTAATTTTGTTAATTGTCTGATTTACCCCCACTGGACCATGAGCTCTGAGACATCAGGGACTTAATCTCTCTTGTTCTTTGTATTCCCAATTCCTACAACTGTGCCTGACACATAATGGGCCCTTGGAAGGTTCTGGGCTCTGTGATCAAGGAATGCACATTCCTTGTGCAGGAGAGAGATACAAACACAGAATCCCATATGTTACCAGCTGTGCTTGAGGTTCATGTAGGCTGCTATGGGACCTCCAAGGAGGAACGCTGCTCTTGGGCAGAAGTGGTGGGATGGGCAAAGGGTGTCATAGAAGACCCCTCATAGGCAACCTCTGAACTGAGTCTTGAAGGCCAAGTAGGACATATAATGTTTGGGGCCAAGGATACAGCCCATGCAAAGGGCTGAGGGTGTTAGATGACTCGGATATGTACAAGTGGTTCAGGCAGGGTGGTTGGCAGAGCAGTGGACTTGAGGATGACAAGGCTGGTGGCAAGAGATGGGGACAGGACCCAAAGGCTGTGCTAAGGAGCTAGGACTTTATTCTGAATCTGATGGGGAGTAGTAAAATTGGAAGGATTATAATCATGTCGAAATTAATATTTCATTTCTGGCAGCTGCAGGGATGATAGATAGGAGAGCATGAGACTATAGGTGGGAAAGCCAATTTGAAGCCTTTGAAACAGAATTCATGTTTGAGAGACCCGCAGCATTCTTTGCCCTTTCTTTCCTTTGTTCACAGTTGTTGCTTTGGTGGAAAACATTTTTTCTTCCATCTCCACATGCTCTAGTGCTACCTGTTGTTTGAGGCCCAGCTTGAATGAATGAATATGGTCACTGTGGGCCAAAGAGAACCAAATATATAACCCTGGATCTGTTTCTGAGGGTATGTGGCAGAAGATTATCCTGACCATTCGTGAATTCATTCTGGGCGTTTGGGACTATATAGAACATTGCGATGTCTTGTTGTTTCCTACATGCTAGACACTATGTAGAATGCTATATTTACAAGGATTATCTATTTAATCCTCACAACCAGCTGTACACTGGATATTATGATTAGCTTTACATTATGGATTAATCAACTGAAGTACAGTTTTGTAAATAAATTGCTCAAAGTCACACCATCATTAGTAAAGATTAAAGATAGAATCTTGGAGGATTGGCACCAGAACCATAATAACAGCATTATCTTGTAAAGAGCATTAGACTAAAAGTCAACAGAGCTGGATTCTAGTTAATAATTAATAATGACCATATATCCAGCTTCATAATCCACTAAGATAGGTGTCATCATCCCCATTTTCATAATAAGAATACTACGGATTAGAGGGTTTTAATTAATTGTACAAGGCCACATAGCTTTGGATTTGAATCCACGTATACATGATTACAAATTTAATGATTTCAATCGTTGGAAATACTCTTCCTGGTAGCTCTGGTCCTGATTCATTTGAATGGTCTATGATATTAGACTCTGAGCTCCCGGCACTGTCATCTGTAAAATGGCAGAGTTAGATTCGATGGCATCAAGCATCCCTCTGCTCTATGATCTATGATCTAAAAGTATCCCGGAGCCCCCACTGATTTCTTCCCCTATTACTCTTCTTCACTGCTTTGGGTTGGGTTTACTCTTTTGAACAATGAGAGAAGTATGAAGAAAAGGATGACCTGGATAGGTAGCTTGCAAGGTGAGCATGGGGTCAAGGGCAGAGGGCTGGCTCCCAGCCAACTGGAAATTAAAAAAGGAATTGAGGTGGCAACAAACCCGAAGCCAAGTTCCACACAGCCAAAATATTGGAGGAGAACACTGGCGAGATGATGAGGGAGTTTCAAGGTCACTCAGAGGCCCTGTGAGAATCCTGAGGGAATAAAGGGTATGCTAGCAATGAGTGTTTGTGGCAGGTGTGGTGTATGGCTAGGGCTGAGAATGGAATTCAGTGAAGAAAAACCAGGACTTAGTGGATAGTTTGTTGAGACAACATTGTGTTGAGAATAAAGGAGGAGAAAAGCAGGTTAGTTGGGTGACACCTGATCAAGGCAGCTTGTCGAAAACGGAAAGATCACATGCCATCTGGGGACATTTCCTAGGAAATGTGTTCGTAGAAAACTCAAGCTTTAGTAGATAAATCATTAGGAAAGCTTTCAGGTGAAGAGATGTGGGTCATGTTTACGGGGCTAATTAGATCATATAGAGTCGGGGCTTTGAGGTACACAATTAACAATTTCCCTTCTTAGAGTTTTTATGTCACAGAAACAAAAGCATAAGAGACGATAAAGGGTGAGGTTATAAGAGAGTGAAGAAAAAAAGGCATAATAGACAAATGATAAAGAAAAAACGTAGGAAAATAGAGACCTTTGTTGTGCAATCAGTGTGTAACAACTGCAATAGATCATTAGGAAGGAAGGCCCTGTTCCCAAGTCTCTCAGGCTCCCCCTACAATTGCTTAACTCTCTGTGTCTGAAATATGGAGGCAAAGTTATAACGAGAACAAGTTGTCAGAGACCCAGAAACATTCTTGTACTGGAATGCTTTTTTGCAATATACATGTGATGAGAGTCAGTTCTTTCTAGAAGGATAAACCTAGTCACATTTTCCCAACTGGGACCTGATAATTAGAGATACCCATTTCGTTATCCTTCTGTCTCGTTTTCTCCACGTCGAGTAAGGTTCGTTTAAATAAAGTGTGCTTCACATAGGTTAGAGAGACTGATTACAAAGCCATTGGTGTAAGAAATAAAGATCGGAGATATTGTGACGTGTAGACGAAGTGATGGAAACGTATCATTTTCATTTCTAGGGCCCCAAACGATATGACGTGAAGTCCTGAAAATGTGACCTGTGACAGTGACATAAGCCAATGCCTTGTGTGTCACAACCAGGAGTCCGTGATGATGAAGACAGGGAGAAATTGTGTTAGGGTGAATGATGATGTGATGTAAGATAGTTCTCCAGAGGTGAGTGCGTCGATAAGAAGGTAGAGACTTGAGACTCCACAGGTGTTTAAGTGTTTGGGAAAATACGGAGCCTTCCTTAAGCAAAGTAACACACATACCATGGTGCCTGATACTCAGTAGGTCTTCCTGTTTCTCTCTTTTGCTACTCCTAACTGGTGAACATGGGAAGAGAGAACGTGGGCTTATTTTTCCAATACTTTGACTGGACTGAAACCAGGTTTAGGTGAAGATACCACAGGGAAGTGAACTGCTGTCCATAGAAACAGGACATACCCTTTCAGGAATGGAGCAAGTGAATTAGTGTGTCCTAGTTCTTGAACACCTATTTTGTTCCAGGAGTTTTATTATGCATCGGCGACTTCATTTTATGCTCACGGCAATCCAGTCTTGACCTTGAAAATGAGGAACGAGAGAATCAAAAGTGTAAAAATATGCCCAAAGTCACATAGCTGCTAATGAAGGAAAAGTTGAGGATTGTCTCTAACCCCAATTGCATGCTTTCTCAAACTAGCCGACCTTTGCAATCATCATGAAGGTCATTAAAGGGCAACTGGGATACAAGAGGTAGATGGTGCAGGAAGATTATCTGGCTGATGTGCTTTAGGGATGATGTAGAGATATCTCTTGTTCTCACCCCTATGTGCAGTTAAATAGAACAATAATAATATTCTCTTTCTTCTTGCAAAGATAATACAAGTTATTCAAACCAATGGACAAGTAAAAGAAGGAAAAAAAAGTCACCCAAATTCTGTTACCCAGAGGTAAGCAGGGTTAACATTTTTATTATATCTCTCTAATTTTTTTCTGTGCTTATATATTTATAAATACTATGTTTATCCAAATGCATATTCTAAAAAATGATAAAAATGTACATACTTGATTTGCAAACTAATTTTCACTCATTCAAACAGATGGCATGTGAAAGAAGTTTTTCTACCTTAAAATTATTAAGACTGGGTATTAGAACAATATTTTGACAAACAAATCCATTTGCATTAATGGAAGTGTTACAATATTTATTAAAGTTATTGAGAGTGCCAGAGAAGTAAAACTGAGTGTTAATGCTATTGATGTCTACTAAAATAACATTTATTATGTGATGCATAATAACTTGCTCTCACACAAATTTGATGTCTATTTAATTAATAATTAATTAATATTAATATCAAAAGTACTGAAAGTGCTAGGTACAAAGTCTAACTGTATTTCCTTTGAAACTGGAATTTTTATAACCCCCCAGTCAGCAACAAAATCACCAGAGTAACTTCTTTTGTGACATTATGAGACCTCAAATTATGTTATCACCTTAGTTTGGCTGAAAGAAAAAATATTTGGAGAACACTAAGTGACTAGTCATCTTCTCCTCTAGGGTATTTTAAGGTCTATCCTTGGATCAAATAAGGTGTTTAGGCTAGCATGTATTTTTACTTCTTGAAACCCTTTACTGACATTAATGAGGATCCCTAGAAGAAACACATATGTGAAATATGCTCCCACATTTGCTATAGAAATGCTATTGAGGACGGTGTCTATCATACCACTTGATTACCCCTACTATTAAACTCCTTCAGAGAATTTGTTTTAGATTTCAGTGCCAGGAAATCATGTCTTACTGGTAGGGTTGATATATAATTCTTCCTTTATCATAGTAACAGCAATTTGAATAATTGTGACTCCGAAACTTTCCATCACCAGCCAGGAAGTTTAGCGCCAAATTTGATGCCAAATCATATAAATTATGTTAACGATGTTACCATGTTGGCATTTTCCTTTTTCATAGTATTGTTTTCTATCTCCACTTTATTACCCTCATTATTATATTTGTATGTAAATGACAATTCTTCCTTATTTTCTCTCTTAACTTGGAAAGCTAAAGTAGATGTCTTTATGTTAAAGGAATGTAATATTATAAATACTGTGTTTTACCACCTTACTAATTTATTTTGTTCACTTTATTTTGCCGTGTATGTGTAATCTCAGAGGATTTTTCTCTTGATCCTTGGAATTTAGAAAGTGCATCAGGAGGTAGCTAGGTGTGACTCTCTTTTCAATAGTCCTACCTCGCCATTAGTGAACTCTTGACCTGAAGACTAAAATCTCTCTTCAGCTCAGAGAAATTTTCTTCTTTTATTTCTTTGATGATTGTTTCCCCTTCATCTGATCTATCCTCTCACGAAGCTAACTTTGTCTTGCAATTAAAACACTTGTAAGATGGCCAACTCATCCTGGTTTGCCCGGGACTTTGCCAGGTTTAGTGCAAACCAGGATGGCCGGTTACCTTACACTTAGCTAAGTTATTGTGTCCCCGAAGATAATGGTTTTTATAGTGACAAGGGAGATTTTAATTTTCAATTTTGAATCCACTGTGGACTGATCTTTTGAAAATACTATACAAATAAATACGACAAAAGTCAAATTAAAAAATACAAGTCCAATTTAAAAAGTTATTTTTAGATTCAAAAGACATACACTCACTTTGTCAAAATGTTCCAAAGGTTTTAAATGCTTTCTCTCTGTTTCTGTAGGTAGCTTGTAAGATCTGGTGTCACCTTGTGGACCACATTTTGAGTAGCCCTGCTCTAGGATTTCTCTAATCTGCTCTGATAATCCCTTCCATCTCTTCCACTCCACATTCTGTTCTCTCCAGCCTGTGCTAAATGCCTCTTTTGTGTTAAAATACCCCATTACGTTAAGCTGTGCGCTTCTTAAGGGAGACAGTTGGAATCTTATTTATCTTTCTACGCCCAGCACCCACCACACTGCCCGACAGGAAGTTTGTTCGGCTGCTGTATTCATTCTTTATTGAGATTGGAAGAAAGTTACAAAGTTCTAGTTATGATTTTTGGGGGGAGGATGAGATTGGGGGGCTTTCCTCGTACTTTTCAGTATTTCCTAAATTGTCTCAAACACACTTGTATTACTTTTGAAACGGGAAAATTAAAGCATTATTTTAACAACTGATTTTATGGAATAAGTGATATCCACCCCGTGGTTTGCGGTCAGTAAAAAGTCCCCTTTCATAGTGTAGCTGAACTGTAGGACACAGGCCAACTTGTGGAAGAGAGAAAAAAACAATGCTAAATAATCCCTGTCTTCACTGAGAAACAGGATCCTATTCTCATGCTATTTGGATTTGGAGAATCATCAAGAGAATGGAATGACTAACTGGAGGCTACAGTCCAGAAAACATGGTACAAATTTTCCCTTAAAAATAGAAGATAGAAAGTGTTTCCTTTTCACACTGTGTCCCTTTTCAAGTGGCCTGTGATGTTATGAAGTTCAATAACCACTTCATTGGCATGATTCAGACGCTGGAATAACTGGATGTGATCATTTAAACTGTGAGTGATGGGGCCCTGAATTCCCTAATTAGACAATAGTGCTATTGGAACTGGCAGTTAATCAGTTTAAAAGTGACTTATCGGTAACGTACAATATGACTAATTTAGCAGCTAAGCAGTTTCATTGTGATCTTGGTGTCAGTGGAATTCCTGTCACCTATCCAACAGTTAAGTCATATTGCATAATTGTTGAGTGACATCACTGGGCTGCAAGATTATTGGCTGAAGAAATGAAAAAAAAAAAAAGAAAAAAGGTTTCCTGGAGTGTCAGCCTTTCCGGCATCTGAACGAACGACTTGCGCTGGGACTGCAGTGCAGCTGGCGAGGGAAGTAAAAATGCGAGTTGAAGTGGCTGGCTTTTGGTGTGTCATTGAAAACCCCAGGCTGTAGCACCCGGGAAGATTCTCCAACACGCCTAATTATGAGGTCTCTTCCCTTTGTGGGGGACTTCACAGTGCCAGTCATTAAGGTAGGGGCTGAGGGCGCCGAGACAATGGCACTCTCTTGTAATGAGGGCATTTAATTTTTCTCAGAACTTTACAGTCTTCTCTGTGGAGAGAACAGTTTTAAAAATGCAGCTCACCATCTGCTATACACATAGACACCGAAAAGACAGTCAGCTGGGACCCGGTTGAAAACCTTTTATGGTTAAAAGCCTGGCTTATTTCCAAGGGAACTGGTAGTTCAGGTTAATCACCACAGAACACATAAACTTTAAGTTTATTTAATTGTACAAAATATCAAGCTTTAAAATGACCCACAGAAATTCATAAAAACCGGAGCTATGGCTGATGGGAATTTATACCACTAATGGCTAGCGTTTATTGTTTACCGTGCATCAGCTTTATGCATACGAATTTATCTCATCTTATGAAGTAGCTACTATTATTATCCCCAATTTACAGATGAGGGGATGGAGACCCTGGGATCATACAACTGGTAAAGAGTAGAACAAGCTCGTACCCAGGTAGTTCAGCACTAGAACACATAGTCTTTCTTTTTTTTCTTTCTTTCTTTCCTTCCTTCCTTCCTCCCTCCCTCCCTCCCTTCCTTCCTTCTTTCCTTCCATTCTTTCACAGAGAGGGAGAGAGAGAAAGAGAACAAGCAGGGGGAGGGGCAGTGGGAGAGGGAGAAGCAGGCTTCCCACTGAGCAGGGAGCCTGATGTGGGACTCAAACCCAGGACTCTGGGATCATGACCTGAGCTGAAGGCTGAAGCTTAACTGACTGAGCCACCCAGGCACCACTAGAACACACAGTCTTAACCTTTGCCCTCCACTGCATCTTTTTAAATCATAACAACAACAACAACAACAACAACTACTACTACTATTTCCACCTACTGAATGCCTTTCATGTGACAGGCACTGTCCTATAACCATCGTATCCTCTCATCAACTCTGTGAGATACAGGCTGCCCTGTTATTACCCCCACTGATAGATTAGGAAAGTGAATCACAGAAAATAACTTACACAGACAGTAGGTAATGAAAAAAGGATTCAAACCCAGACGGTCCAGATCCAGACTCCATGATTTTAACCACCATGCAAGACTGCTTTTCATAGTTAATATTTATTGATTATCTATTAATGTGTAATCCTTACAACAATCCTGTGATACCCGTGATCTACAATAATACCTGCACTGTAGGAATTATTAACCCCAATTTATAGATGAGAAAACTGAGGCAATAAACCATTGGGTAACCTGCCAGCTTCTAAGTAGCAAGCAGAGCCAGAATTCTTCCAAGTCCATCGGACTCCACCATCCCACACCACCATGTGCAATTCTGATGCAGGGAGGCGAACATGTGTCAGGTAAAGGGCTGGGATCTCAGGAGTCACTGAGTGTGAGGAGTAATATCTTGGTCTGGGCATCCGCAAAGGATGGGGCCTGCTTAAAGAGATGTCAGAAAGGTCCTGAGAGTCAGCAGGGCTCTGATGAAGGGGCATCCTGCCTTGAAAGCACATTCTCCACTTGTGGATTCTGGGTGATCTCCTGAATGTGGTCAGCCTCCCTTCTCTCCCTTAAATTCCTTTTCTCTTTTCCTTCTCCTCGATATTTCCACAACTGCACTTCCCTGCCCTCCTTTGGTCAGTACAGAACCTCGCACATGCTCAGTTCTCTTGCCTTGTAAGGGTTCCTTCCCCACCCCCAAGCCTCCTCTCCTTTTGTAGCACGTATTCAGTTCTGTGGAATGTGGCCACCCATAAGCATGATACACATTTTCAAAAGGCTTTAGAAATGAATGTGATTAGCGAACTTAATTTTGTTAAAGGGGAAATGCATAAACAGGGCACATGTGGAACCTATTACTTTTACAGTATCGGTGTCCTGCTTTCAAGGGTGTAATAATTTAAAAAAGCTGAAATCACAACAAAAAGCAAGCACAAACCAAAAAACAAACAGAAGATTGAAAAATAGCTTGAGTATTACAGAAGTATTTACCTTCAAGTTTTCAAGAGTAAAGAGTTATTTTTAAACGTTATTCTAGTAAAGGAAATCAAATGTATCTGTTTGTTCATTTAAGAACATTTAGTGTGTAAAAATGAACGAATATTTATTTTGGGGAAGTAGAGATTAAAATATGTATGACACATCCTAATATACCTAAGTCCTTCAAGAACAAACGCAAATGCTGCAAGAGTGAAACAAATTGTAAAATAGTGTCAGTCCAATAAGGAAGTGAACTCTCCGGAGGGAATGATCAGAGGAACTTCTTGAAGGAGCAGATACTTGGCTAGAACTAGAAGAACTGATAGAATTAGGATAGGTTGATCTTAAACATTAAGGAAAGGATGGTCCATACAGGGAACTAGTGTGAGACAGAAAGACAAGATGAAGGTATAAGGCTGTGAATCCTTCTCAAAAGTACACAGCTATTAAGTAATATGAGAATCTTCAATAAAAATCTGCAGGGATGGCCAGTTATTTGTTCTGCTTTTATACCAAAGATTAAGACGTAATGGAAAAGTGTGTCTCATCCCAAAATTAGGAAAGGGAAAATCTTAACATTTTGATGTGCTATGAGCTGGCCATCCCCTGCATGCATGAATCTCCCTTTAGTGAAGATAGTAGAAGACTTGGCATTCTAAACAGCTCAACAGCATCCAGCATCCAGCTCATCTAAACCTCTCAGTGGACAGGGAGTCTACTGCTGGGTCATCTGATCTTCTTAGCGACCTCAGGTCATTCACCCTGATCTGAGATCATATTTCTGAAAAATGATAAGGTCCTTCAATTCGGAGAGTGAGTGAATAATGAATGCATTAGGAACCTCTCTCAAGTGATTTTTATGGTCTTAGTCAGTGTCTGGGGGTGACTTTATTATAGCTGAGACTGCCTTAAGGTAAATAAGTTTGTTTTGGTTCTTTAATCACTAAGTGCTTTGGGATATGGTCCAGAGGTGGTTCATTCATTCATTCATTCATTCATCCATCCATTTAGACATTGAATAAGTACCTACTGTGTTTGTCAGCCTCTAAGATGGCGCCCAGGGATTCCTCCCTCCTGGTATGCATGCTCTATCTAGTGCCCTTCCACATTTACCAGGGTAACTATGTGTGACCATCAGCAAAAGTGATGGTATGTCACTTGTGAGGTAGATTACTGAAAAAAAATTGTGACTTCTGCCTTACTTTTTCTCTTAGATCACTTGGTCTGGAGGAAGCCATCTGCTATGTCATGAGGACAGTTTAGTGACCTATGAAGAGGCCCATGTGGTGAAACTGAGGCCCTCTGCCAATAGCTGGACCAGAACTGAGGCCTTTTGTCAAGAGTTATGTGAGTAAGCCATCCTGGAAGCAGATTCAACAGCCCTAGTCAAGCCTTTGGATGACACAGCCCTGCCTGACACCTTGATTTGAGCCTTAGGAGACCCTGAGACAGAACCTATTCTTCTAGGCTGCTTCTTGGACTTCTGACCCTCAGAAATTGTACTAGATGATACATGTTTATTGCTTTAAGTTACTTTAATTTTAAGTCACTTTAATTTTTTTTTTCACATTGCAATAAACAACTAATATGTCTACCGTTTATTTGTTACTGTGACTGATGCTGGCAATGAATAGAGCTTGATCTGACCCTCTAGAAGCTAACAGTACCCAGAAAAGCAACAACTGATATATAAGCACCTACATACAACAGAGTACAACAGATGCTATAAGGGAGATCCCTTACAAAAATGCCATAGGAGGCAGGAGATAACAATTAACTCCATTTGGAGAGAAAAGGGTCCCCAAAAAGAAAAATAGACATCTGGAAATTAATCTCCAAGAAAAATGAGGACTTTTCCAGCGAAGAAGAGGGAATAGCAAATGCAAAGATCCAGAAATGAGAAACCATTGCATGTCTTAGGGAATGTGTTCTATATAGTTACAGCCAAGGATTCACATAAGGATTCCTTGCTAGGGAAGATGGATTTCTTCTAAGATATGAGAAGTCCTTGATTGACAGGGTTTAAGCAGAAGATTGACATGATCAGATATATGTTTTAGACAGACAACTATTCTAAGTTTCACCAGAAAGGCCTAATAGGACTAGAAGCGGGAAGAAATGGAGGTCATAGAGAAAACTCTTGCTGTTCTTCTCAGCAGCTACTCCTGTTAGAGACTAGTGAGCTTCTGATGTGACTGTATCACTCATATTTTTTTATTAATCCTTTAATTAAGATATATATTTTTATAAGGGCACCTGGGTGGCTCAGTTGGTTAAGCATCTGTCTTAGGCTCAGGTCATGGTCCCAGAGTCCTGGGATCGAGCCCCACATCGGGCTCTCTGCTCAGCAGGGAGCCTGCTTCTCCCTCTGCCTCTGCCCCTCTCCCTGCTTGTACTCTCTCTCTGTCAAATAAGTAAATAAAATCTTTAAAAAAAAAAAGTGTTCCCAAAACTCATTTTTAAAAAAGATATATATTTTTATAATAATTTTTATTTTTTGTTTGCATTTTGAAATTTGGTTTACCAAAAGTTTACAAAACTAGTACAAGGGGGCACCTGGGTGGCTCAGATGGTTAAGCGTCTGCCTTCGGCTCAGGTCATGATCCCGGAGTCCTGGGATCGAGTCCCACATTGAGCTCCCTGCTCCTTGGGAGCCTGCTTCTCCCTCTGCCTCTCTCTCTCTATCTGTCTCTCATGAATAAATAAATAAAATCTTTAAAAAAAAAAAAAAAAACTAGTACAAGGAATTCCTATATACTGTTCACCCAGCTTCCCCAAATGTTAACATCTTACATAACCACAGTACAATTATTAATATCAGGACATTAACATAGCACTTTAAACTAGTCTACTAAACTTATTCAAATTTCACCAGTTGTCTGGTTAATATGCTTTATTCTGGTCCAAGATCACATTTTGTTCTTTTTGTCTCCTTAATCTCCTTTAATCTGGAACAATTTCTCAACCCGTCTTTGTCTTTCATGACCTTGATACTACTGAAGAGTACTACCCAGTTATTTTGTAGAATGTTCATCAACTTGGGTTTAGTTTATCTGATATTTCCCCGTGATTAAATTTAAGTTATGCATTTTTGGCAAGAATACTACAGAAATGATCTTATGTGTCCTCAGTTCATCATATTGGAAGTCACATGATATGTCTCATTATTGTGATGTTAATTTTGATAACTTGGTCAAGGTCATGTTTGCTAAGTTATTTGATTCCCTTTGTAATTAGTAAGTATCCTATAAGAAGATACTTTGAGACTATGCACACTTTCTGTTTTGTTTTTTTAATCTAACTTTTGCCCAGGAATTTTAATATCCATTAATGCCTGAAATAATGATTACTTTGGTGCTTGCCAGATGGTGACAGTCAAGAGATTTTGAATTGTGTTGTGTGGTCATTTTAAAACATGTACACAAGTTCTTTGACACTCCATTGTTCAAGACAGGAAGCCTAATTCTCCTCTCCTTTATTTTAGGCTACATTCAGTGCCTCTCTTCTAATGAATAGAATGTCAGAAGTGACTTCAAAGACCAGGTCAGAAAGGGCATTGTGATTTCCTCTCTGCCCCTCTATTAGATCCCTCACTTTGGGAGAAGTCGGCTGCCATGCATGAAGACACTGGAGCAGCCCTATGGAGGCTAGCATTAACTTGCAGGGCGTTTAAGTGAGCTACCTTAGAAGTGAATCCTCTGGGCCTGGGGAAGCCTTCAGACTGCAGCTCTGGTAAGCACCTTGACTGCAACCTTGTAAGAACCCCTGAGCCAGAACCACCCAACTAAGGCACTCCAGGATTCCTGAGCTACACAAATGAGTGTGAAAGATAAATAAATATTTATGGTTTTAAGCCACTAGTTTTTGGTATAATTTGCTCCACAGCAATAGATAATGAATTCATGCTGGTAAGTAGAAATGAAATCATGAGAAAAATGTTAAGGAAGAGCAAATGGTAGGAAAGAAAGTGTACCCAAAAGAGAGGGAGTAGGAATGCATGTTAAAATGATAATGAGATCCTGCTTCTCACCTGATAAGCTAAAATTAAGAAGTCTGATAGTACCAGGTATAAGGAATTCTCAGGGGCGCCTGGGTGGCTCAGTCAGTTAAGCGTCTGCCTTTGGCTCAGGCCATGATCCCAAGGTCCTGGGATCGAGCCCCACATCGGGCTCCCTGCTCAGCGGGGAGCCTGCTTCTCCTTCTCCCACTCCCCCTGCCTGTGTTTCTACTCTCGCTGTCTCTCTCTCTCAGTCAAATAAATAAATAAAATATTTAAAAAATAAACCTGTAAAAAAAAAAAAGAATTCTCAAACGCTGCTGGTCAGATTGTAAATTGGTGGTCATTTCAGAAAGCAGTTTGACATTATCTAATAAAGGTGAAGATACACATACCACCAGATAAGTTATCAGAATCCTACTCCTAGACACACATGCAACAGAAATAGGTACACATGGACGTCAAGAGACACGTACATGAAATGATCACGGCAGTATTACTCATAATATCCTGAAACTGGAAACAAACCAAGTATCCATCAACGGTAGAATGTGTAAGCAAACTGTGGAACATTCATTCACTAGAGTGCTGTATATAAATAAAAACTAACCAACTGCAGCTACAAGCAATAATGTGGATGAATCTTTTTTTTTTAAGATTTTATTTATTTATTTGACAGAAAGAGAGATAGCGAGAGCAGGAACACAAGCAGGGGGTAGTGGGAGAGGGAGAAGCAGGCTTCCCGCCGAGCAGGGAGCCCTATGTGGGGCTCCATTCCAGGACTCTGGGATCATGACCTGAGCCAAAGGCAAATGCTTAACGACTGAGCCATCCAGGCACCCCAGTGTAGATGAATTTTAAGAATAATGTTGAGTGGAAGAGATCCAGCCAAAGAAATATATATTGTAGGATTCCATTTGTGGAAAGTTCAAAAGCAGACAAAATTAAACAATTTTTTTTGAGATGCATACTTAGGTGATAAATCCATTAAGAAAAGCAAGAAAAAGGGCACCTGGATGATGTAGTCGGTTGAACACTGGACTCTTGGGTTCGGCTCAGGTCGTGATCTCAGGGTAGTGAGGTGGAGCCCCATGTAAAGCTCTGTGTTCAACGCTGTCTGCTTAAGACTCTCTCTCCTTCTTCCTCTGGAACCTCCCCCCCCACCTCTCTCAAATAAATAAATAAATCTTCAAAAACAAAAAAGAAAAGCAAGAAAAGTGAATGTCATAAAAGAATAATGGTTCCTTTAGGGAAGAATGTAGGAATTGTGGCTGGACAGAGGCCAAGGGTAGGGTCTTTTGGAAGTGTTTACAATATATCACTTCTTTCTGTTTTTCCTTTAGAAATCATTACTATTGTGGTGTAACTCAAGTGCAATAAAATTATTGTAATATTGTATGTATGTATAATACATACATATGCAATGTATAATGTAAACTGTGTATTAGTCACATAAATGTTGACTTTATAATAGTTCATTAAACTATTCATTTGTATTCTATGCACTGTATGTGTTTTGTTTTACAGTTTAAAAAGTTACAAATGGAGTTTGCATACAGGTGAGGATCTTGGGAATCAGACTGGATCAAAGGTGAACATGAACTGGCAATTAAGGTTCTGTTAAAAAGAAATTAACACACGCTGGGAAAGAAGAACAAAGGAAGCACACAGTAGACAAGAAGCTATCCTCCCAGCTCATATGTGGAAACATCACTGAGCGGACCAGGGGCCTATCCTGACAGCCAAGGCAGGTCTTAAACCCGGGCAGTACGCCTTATGAGCTTTTTACCTTGAGAGCAGAAAGCAGCTGGGCCCAAGAGAAGGTAGGCTTGATGGTATCAAAACTATGATGAAGACGAAGCCTTCAACATCTTATCCCATCTGTGTCTCTGCTTCTGTTTCACTTCTCCACACCTTCTTCGGATACTCAACAGCCTGTGTATTTATCTCCCTTCCTTCTAGTCATACCCATATCGGAAGTCAAGGCAAGTCTAAAGGCCAGCTCTGTTGACTCTTGGTCTAGTCAGTGGTATCACACTGGTGGAAGGTATTTGCAACTTAATCTAAATCTCTGACTATGAATGAAAGGTTTTGTGGCCTTTGGTGAAATTTCTGTCACCAGTGACTGGTTGTATGAGGTATATTTTGGGTGAAGTAGGCCTTCCTGCCCCAGACGTGGCACCCTGTAAAATCTGGTATGGTACGCCCTGGGGAGAAGGTGTCAGGTAACTTTAAAAAAAATCACCCCAGGTGATTCAGATATGACAACCTGTATCCTGTATGACAATATGCCTTCTTTCCACGCCCCATCCCTCACTGAGAACCACCCGTTTACAGGAAGGCCATTCACTGAGCAGACATAATATCTGTCCATTCATCCAATTCATTCATTCATTAAACAACTATTTCTTCTTTCTTTTTTTTTTTTTATGGCTGAGCCACCCAGGCGCCCCTAAACAACTATTTCTTGAGTTCTAAGTATGTGTCTGGCCCTGGGCCGGCACTGGTGATTCAGGGTTGAACAAAAACAGGCATGGGCCCTGCCTTCTTAGAATGGTTTGGTGTACAAATTAATGAAACCAAGGAGATAAGGGTAAAATCACCAGTCAGGTAAGTGTTATAAATCTGGGTTTACTCACCAAGAAGAGAGCTAAATGAACAGTAGCTTAATAATCAGGATTTTTTGGGGTGCCTGGGTGTCTCAGTCGTTAAGCGTCTGCCTTCGGCTCAGGTCATGATCCCGGGGTCCTGGGATCGAGCCCCACATCGGGCTCCCTGCTCGGCGGGAGGCCTGCTTCTCCCTCTCCCACTCCCACTCCCCCTGCTTGTAGTCCCTCTCTTGCTGTGTCTCTCTCTGTCAAATAAATAAAATCTTTAAAAAAATAATAATAATCAGGATTTTTCAAATATAAGATGAGGAAATTATATGGAGGAAAATGACTAGTTATTTTATGTTAAGAAAAGACCTAAAAAAAGACATCAAAAAGGAGGTTTGCTCTGTAACAACTAAAACTGATGAAGATCATTATTATTCTTTTAAAAGATTATTTATTTATTTATTTGACAGAGAGAGAGAGAGAGAGCACAAGCTGCAGGAGCTACAGGCAGAGGGAGAGGGAGAAGCAGGCTCCCCGAGGAGCAGGGAGCCCGATGCGGGACTCGATCCCAGGACCCTGGGATCATGACCTGAGCCGAAGGCAGTTGCTTAACCAACTGAGCCACCCAGGTGCCCCGAGATCATTATTATTGATATTTAAGAATCCTGTTCATCTGCTCCAGTTGTTCTCTCAAACTGTTTTGAAAAATATTAGGCTATAAAATATATGT